CATATCATCATAATAGCTCATAGGTTCCTTAAGTGAGAATGCTCCTTTCACTTTAGAAACACTAGCATGTGATTAAACCCTTCACATAATAGTCGTATTATGATCATGAGAATGTCCTTTCAATCAACACAACAAGATTACCATAAGCATACATACTTACTTCATGCATAACCAAGTGTATGGCGTATAGGGATGAAGGATCTTTCCATCAATACCATAACAACACTATAGATATAGAATCATTACTATCTAAGTACATCACAATCTCATGCATAATTCCCATAAAGAGGCATAGCCTTCATACCTTTGCCCTTCAAGGGTCTTGAAAGAACAATCAACCCAACTATATACAATTACTTTATAATATAGAAGGAATTCATGATTCAATAGCTTAATCAACATAAACATATTCAATTGAATCATTCATAATATCATCCAACCCACAAAATCAATTCTAGATCTATCAATATGCGGAACACATGGGTCTATGGGGAATTCTCATTATAAACATCAATTATCCATCAATATATTCCTAATTCGTCATAAACAACCAAAAACAATTATAATTAAGCAATGAAACCGTTTTGGAAAGAAGACCCATGTTATAGAATGAAAACCCTAGAATTTGGGGGATTTGATATCTTGAAAGCATAATTTGAAGGGGCTCCTTGGGTGATAGCTACCCAAGGATGAAAGGCAACCATACCTCAACTAAGAAGCTCCAAGAAATTTGGGGAAGAACCTTGAAACTCTAGCAACCCTAGCTCCAATGTCTTCTTCTTCTTCTTCAGTCTAGAGAGAGTTTCTGAGAGAATGTTGATGTTCTTGGGTTTCTTCTTTTATTAAGTGGGAGTAACTAAAATTGAAGGAATTGGACCGTAAAAAGTATATATAATTGTTAGGAAAAGAGTGGGAAAGTGTTGGTTCGTGTTTTGGAAAGACTACTTAAAGACCCCAACTTAAAACTTACAAATTATGGATTTCACGAAGGAGCTCGCCCATTGGACCCTCTTGGCTCACCAAGGGCACTAGATGACTCGCCAAGTGAACCCTTGGCTCACCCAATTTCCAGTGAGCTTAAAAAATGGGCAGCTCACTTAGGCGATGGTGAGATATGTTGGGCAAATCGCGAACCCATTGGGTGATCCTCAACCCATCTTGCCCATTTTTTCAGAACATAAGCTAGGAGGGACAGCACACTAGGCGACCTAAGTGCACTTTGGCGCATCACCAAGTCGCTTGGGCAACCATGCTGTCAATCGCCAACCTATCCAAAGAGAAACAAGTTCTCCTTCACACTTCTTTGATAGCTAAGGACCTTACCTCCATCCTAGATGTTTACCTCCCTCATTTTTTTTCTTTAGTTTGGTCTTAAACATCTCCAGAAATTACATAAATCCTCTCATTAACCCTCATTCAACCTAGACACCAACTTGAAGTTATACCAACCCACCCGATGAGGCTCTAGTTTAACCGATAGATTTTCCGGGTTGTTAGAATATACCCCCCTTAGGAACATTCGTCCGCGAATGACACTTTAAACATCTTACTGGATTAACGACTCAAGCCAACAGCCCACCATGTAAGACATGTCTATAAAAATGCACAAATCATAGGAGGAAACATCAACTCCACATCATAAGCTCAATGCAACACCAAAATGTAGGTATTACATCTACAACTTCATTATGCACCAAAAAAAAATACCATTTCATACAAACATGGGAGGAACTACCTTCTCCAACACAAGCAAGCACAACATAACAATATTAAGCTAACATGCTATTTCATCACAACTTAACTAAACATGCTCATAAACTCATATCATGAAGTCACATATGCCAACATCATACACAAATGCAATTCAACATGAGAAACATTTACATCATGAAAACTCAATACGTACTAAAACATGAATTCTCACAAGAACATGCACAATATAGAGAAACCATGCAAAACTAAAACATTACACATGACTCCAAAAACTACTAAGAAATAACGAGGAATTTCTTACCTCAAGCTTGGATAGGATTAGATTCAAAAAGATGAGGGTAACGGGACTTCATATCGGCCTTGGCCTCCCATTTAGCACCCCAACTAGGTGGTTCCTCCATAAAACTTTAACGGAAGCTACCTCTTTATTTCTCAACCTCTTTACTTGCCGGTCCAAAATCTCTACCGGGACCTCTTCATAAGAAAGGCTTTCATCAACTCCTAAACCCTCTAAAGGAAGGATAGACACCGGATCACCAATGCATTTCTTAAGCATGGACACATGAAACACTGGGTGAACTAGGGACAATTAGAGCAAACTCACCTACTTCAAACCAACCCACTAGTGATCTACACCTTCTTCCATAAAGTGCTTCAAACGGAGCCATGGCAATGATTATGTGGTAACTATTATTGTAGGCAAATTCTATCAAAGGAAGATAATCGTCCCAACTACCCTTGAAATCTATTACACAAGCTCTCAGCATGTCCTCTAGGGTTTGAATGGTGCATTCTGCTTGACCATCCGTTTGAGGGTGAAATGTGGTACTTAGCTTAACATTGGTACCAAGCCCTTTTTGGAATGCTTTACAAAATTGTGAAGTAAATTAAGTACCCCTATCCGATATGATAGATAAGGGAACCCCATTCAACTTCACTATCTCATTTATGTACTACTTGGCATAGTCTTCCGCCGAAAATGAAGTCTTAATAACAATAATGTGGGGTGATTTAGTCATCCTATCAACAATGACCCAAATATAATCATGTTGCTTTCCAGTACGAGGCAACCCCACCACAAAGTCCATCTTAACATCCTCTCACTTCCAAGTAGAAATTTAAATATATTGGGACAAACCTCTGGGTTTTTTGTGTTCGGCCTTGACTTGTTGAAAATTCGGACATTTGGCTACAAAACCCGTTTTATCCTTTTTCAAGCCATTCCACCAATAGACTTCTTGTAGATCACGGTATATCTTGGTGGCCCCAGATGAATAGAATATCGCGAACCATGAGCCTCTTCTAAATTTTGCTCCCTTAAGCCATCTACATCCCGAACACATAATCTACCTTGATACCTAAGCACCCCATCTCCCCCTTGGGAGAAAGCCTCAACGGACTTATTGACAACCGATTCTTTCAACTCCATCAAAATAGGATCAAGATGTTGTTTAGATTTCACATCAACTACAAAGGATGATTCGGAACTATGATGAACATAACTCCACCCTTGGTGGAATCCACTAGTTGGACACCTAACCGGTCCAACCTATGCACATCACCAACCAATTCCTTCTTCTCATGTTCTACACGAGCCACACTGCCCATGGACAATCTACTCAAGGCATCTGCAACTACATTAGCTTTTCCAGGGTGATAAATGACACTCATGTCATAATCCTTTAGAAGGCTCTTGTGGTTGGTAAACACATCTACATGGACCCCATAAAAGTAATGTCTTGATATTTTCAAAGAAAATACCACCGCCGCTAATTCAAGATCATGAGTCGGATAATTCTTTTCATGCACCTTGAGATGCCTCGAAGCATAGGCAATTACTTTACCCCGTTGCATAAGGACACACCCCAAACCTATTCGAGAAGCGTCACAATATACTACAAACCCATCGATACCCTCCGATAAGGTCAACACCAGAGCGGAGGTAAGCCTATCCTTCAATTCTTGCAAGCTTTTCTCACAAGCCTCCGACTACTCAAATTTAACCTTTTTTGAGTCAAAGCCGTTAAGGGAGAAGCAATCGAGGAGAAACCCTTAACAAATCTTCTATAGTAATTGGCCAAACACAAAAAGTTTCTAATATTGGTAGGAGATAGAGGTCTAGACCAACTCTTGACCGCATCCGTCTTCTTAGGATCAACCTCAATACCCAAACTCGACAAAATATGACCAAGGAAAGAAACTGACCTTATCCAAAACTCACACTTATTAAATTTAGCATATAGTTGGTGGTCCTTGAGGACTTGCAATACTATCCTCAAATGCTTCATGTGATCACCCTCATTCTTTGAATAGATCAAAATATCGTCAATAAAAACGATCACAAACAAATCAAGATATTGCCTAAATACCCTATTCATTAGATCCATGAACGCCGCCGGGGTATTTGTTAGACCAAAAGACATAACTAAGAATTCATAGTGACCATATCTTGTTCGGAAGGCCGTTTTAGGAATGTTAACCCCTCTCACCCTAAGTTGGTGATACCTCAACCTCAAGTCAATATTTGAAAACTAACTAACCCTTGGAGTTGGTCAAACAAATCTTCAATTCTAGGGAGAGGGTACCTATTTTTATAGTGACCTTGTTCAATTGGCGGTAGTCTATACACATCCTAAGTGATCCATCTTTCTTCTTCACAAACAATACTGGGGCTCCCCATGGAGATATTCTTGGTTGAATAAAACCCTTGCCTAGCAAATCCTTGAGTTGAGACTTTAATTCAGCCGGAGCCATCCGATAAGGGGGAATTGATATAGGTGGTGTATCCGGCAAAAGATCAATGCCGAAGTCTATATCCCATTAGGGAGGGATTCCGGGTAAGTCATCGGGAAAGACTTTCGAAAAGTCCTTTACTACGAGGACCGACTCTAAATGAGGAGCCTCGGATTCAAGGTCCTTAACCCTCACAATATGATAGATACACCCTTTAGAAATCATTTTTCTAGCTTTTAGATATGAAACAAAACGACCTCTAGGAATTCAGTTTCCCCCCTTCCATTCTAAAACGGGCTCATTTGGAAATTGAAACTTTACTACTCGAGTTCTACAATCGATGGATGCAAAAAAAACATGCAACCAATCAATCCCCAATATGACATCAAAGTACAACATATTTAATTCTACCAAATCAACCAAAGTTACTCTTTGAGATAAGGAAATAGGACAATTCCTATAAATCCTTCTAGCAACAACCGAGTCACCTATTGGGGTATAAACCAAAAAAGGTTCCTCTAACTTTACGGGGAGTACATCAAATTTTATAGCCACTAAAGGGGTAACAAAAGATAAAGTTCACCGGGGTCTAACAATGCATAAATATTAATGGAAAATACTTGCAACATACCGATGACAACATCCAGAGAACTCTTTTGATCACTTCTAGATTGGAGAGCATAGAAGTGATTCTTCTTGGGAGCATCGAAATTAGAGCCACTTGAAGGGACTTGCTTGCCCGCTCTCCCTTGAACCTTTAACATAGGACAATCCCTGTTCATGTGGCCACTATTACCACAACTAAAACACCCATTTGTGCCAACAAGGCACTTTCCATCATGCTTTTTGCCACACTTCGCACAAGTTGGTCTATCAACATAAGAACCACCTCCACCACCACCTTGTGGCTTTGGAGTAGGCACCCTCTCTTTGTTGACCTTAGGAGTGCTAGAAGTGCCTTGATTAGAAAACCTCTTCTTAAACCTCGGTTTCCCTTGAACCTCGAACCTATTATTAGACGAATTACCATCATCAACTCTTGCCTTTTTCACTTCTCTACCCACTTGCTTGAGCTTTTGTTCCTCAATTTGCTCGGCATGAACCATAAGATGGGAGATGTTTATGGTTGGAATAAGCATTGCCGACCTACATTCATTCACCACTAGGTCGGATATTCCCATAACAAATTTATTCATTTTCGCCCTAGAGTCCACCACTAAGGTTGGGGCATACTTAGACAATTATGTGAACTTCAGGCTATATTCCTTCATACTCATACCTTATTGGCGGAGGTTGATGAATTCTTGCATCTTTCTTTACCTTAGCTCTAGGGGTGAAATCCTATCAAGGAATGTCATATTTAACACTCCCTAATCAACTGGGCCCACTCTAATGGATCTCTCTTCCTTCCATTGCTAAAGCCACACTTGAGCCACGTCCTTCAATTGGTAGTTGGCTAGTTTCGCTTTCTCTATTGGAGACACTCCCATAGCTTCAAGCACATTAAACACCTCCTCAATAAACCCTTGTGGGTCTTCATCCACTTTGGAACCATAGAAGCTATGTGGATTAATCCTTGTGAAATCCCTTATGTTAGAAGTGGTTGTGCTTGCATTGGGGTTCACTTGGACTCTAGCATCCCTAGTGACTTGAGTCGTTAGAGCATGAGTCAAAGTTTGGAGAGTTGTCCTTATCTCCACATTAGTCATAGCCCACTCATCATTAGGAGCTTGAGGAGCCTGAGGCCCTTGAGGACCTTGAGGAGGAACTCCCTCATCATTAGCAACCCCCTCTTCCACTCTCCATGTGGCCGCTCTTCTTGTATTCATATTCCTATATGCACTAGAAAAGGGTTAGGAAAATGATTTCATAGAGTAAAAACTCCAAAGCACGACTAATGAGTAATCAAAGAAGTGAAAAATTCCTAAGCATCTTATAGCCTCTCATTAATAAATACGGTGTGCTTCACACTCATGAACAAAACTCTACTAGTCGTGGTTCATGAGACATCAACCTAGATATTATCCCAAAACCTTATGCTCTGATACCAAGTTTGTCACGACCCAGGTAAACCCCCTAGAAGTAACATGGCGTACTTGACCCCGAAGGGTCTCGTACAAGCCCTTAACATCATCATCACATAAAGGCATAGAAATATATGGAAAAAATAATAACTTTTACAATCGAAGTCAACTTCTTTCATAAAGAAAAATAGGAACTAGACTTGTCTCAATCACCATCTTGAACAAAAGAGTACAAATAGGGTCAGAGCCCTTTACATCAATAGAGTCTCCAAAAATATGAAATACAATATAGTCTTAAACAGAGGAAGTAGAATAGAAACTAGAATCAATGGCAACTTGTCCTCGAACTTGAGGACTCACCAAGCCTAGGGAATAGTCGACCCAAGCCTCACCTTGAAGGAAGTAGTAAGTGTTAACGGCCGGAACCTATACTCATAGTAAAGTAGAAAATATGGGTTAGCACAATTAATTGTACTAAGTATAGATGTCATGCACAAAAATTCTTAAACATACATAAAAGGGACATTTAATTGAAAACATGCCTTTATCAAGTTTAGAAACCATTATGCACATTTATGAAGAAACATAAACCAAACCAACAAGCAAGCAACCCAAAGCCATACTAATGCAATGCAAAGGTAAAGTCCCATAACCCTACCAAATGCTAAGTATCACATTTAGGTCACCAACAACATACAGATCTTACAATAGTCATACCTACATAAGAGGGAAGACATTCATATTTCATAACATTCATACATACCTTTTTCATACTTAGCTCATAAGTCATCAGAACGTCATAACGTAAGAGAACCTTACCATAGTTCACATTCATATTAATTTAGGGAAGACTTGCAATAACTGACATAGACCATGTGAGCTACATAGAATCTGGTGTTCTACCCCCACACCTAAAAGAGGTGTTCTACTGGCCTAAGGTAGAACTAACATAATAGCTTCTAGGTGGATACACTAGCTAAGACCTATGTGGGCACATAGTTATGGGACAAGGAGATTGCTACTAGAAACCCGAACTTGCTAAACGTAGAAGGTTTCCATCTCATGAGCTAACATGCATTGGGAAGCCGGACTTGCTAAACGTAAAAGCCCCCATCTCACTTTCATGTCCTCTCGGTGCTAAGCAATATTCCCTTTAAAAGACACCATTAGCCTTTACGTAAGTTCATATTCATAAAAACATACATTAGGCACTCATGCCAACATATCATTATAATAGCTCATAGGTTCCTTAAGTTAGAATGCTCCTTTAACTTTAGAAACACTAGCATGTGATTAAATCCTTCACATTTATAGTTGTATTGGATCATGAGAATGTTCTTTCAATCATCACAACAAGCTTACCATAAGCATACATACATACTTCATGCATAACCTAGTGTATGTGGTATAGGGATGAAGGATCTTGCCATCAATACCACAACAACACAATAGATATAGAATCATTACTATCTAAGTACATCACAATCTCACGCATAATTCCCATAAAGAGGCATAACCTTCATACCTTTTCCCTACAAGGGTCTTGAAATCATAATCAACCCAACTATATACAATTACTACCTAATATAGAAGGAATTCATGATTCAATAGCTTAATCAACATAAACATATTCAATTGACTCATTCATAATCAGGGGCGGAGCCACGTAGGCTCCAAGGTGTCCAATTGGACACCCTTCGTCGAAAAATTATACTATATATACACCTAAAATTTTGACTTTATATTGGTATATACAGAATTTGGACCCCCTGAATTAACAAAGTGATGCGCAGTGGAGTTGGCAATAGCCTATGCAATCCTACTCTTTATCCCGGTTCGATTCCCTGCAGTGTTGTTTTCTTTTTTTGTAATTATTTTGACTTCTTGAATTCAATTAAGTAAATAAACATGCGTGATTTTAACATAAAAGTTTAGTAGCTTGGTGGTTAATAGTATCATGAAGGTCTCCCAAGACTCAAGTTCGAATCCCTCCTCTACTAACTATTTTTTTCTAATTAAAATTGAATTATTTCCTTAAATTTTAATACCTTTTCCTTGTAGAATAAGATTTTCTTAAATTTAATACTTTTTCTTGTGGATTTTTTTCAATTAAAATTGAATTATTTCCTTAAATTTTAATACCTTTTCCTTGTAGAATAAGATTTCCTTAAATTTAATACTTTTTCTTGTGGATTTTTTTCAATTAAAATTGAATTATTTCCTTAAATTTTAATACCTTTTCCTTGTAGAATAAGATTTCCTTAAATTTAATAATTTTTCATGTGGATTTTTTTCAATTAAAATTGAATTATTTCCTTAAATTTTAATACCTTTTCCTTGTAGAATAAGATTTCCTTAAATTTAACACTTTTTCTTGTGGATTCTTTTCAATTAAAATTGAATTATTTCCTTAAATTTTAATACCTTTTCCTTGTGGAATAAGATTTCCTTAAATTTTAATATTTTTTCCTTATGGAACAAGGTTTTCTTTCTCTATAAATAGGAGACTCATTTACCCAAATCATATCACAATCTATCTATATATAAAAGGAGAAGAAAAAGTGCCATTTGTCAGCACCACAAAAAAAGAATTTATTAATTATTAAAATTAATTTAAAATATAAAAATCTAAAAATAAAAATTTCAATCACTACAAAAAAACCTCTTTTAACGTTTAGAACTTTTCTTCTTCTTCCTCTTTTTTTGGAAGTTTTCAAATTTAATATTAATTATTTATTTCAAAATAAATTTTAATTATATAACATATTTGAAAGAACTACCCACGTTCTATGGAAAAAACATATATTCATAATAAATTACTATTTTATTTTACAACTAAAGTGTTTTTTCTTAATTTAAAACAGTTCTAAAATATAGGATGTGTGATTCCTTTTTTAGTGGGAAGTTATCATATTTTTATTAATTTGAATAATAGTAATAATAATAATAATAATAATAATAATAATAATAATAATAATAATAATAATAATAATTCTAATAATATATCTATCTATATATCTAAAAAAACAGATATTTTTAATAATTAATATATATGTAATATAATCAAATAATAAAATAGTATTTTATTTTATAACTAAAAGTTTCTTTAAAATTTAAAACAATTCTAAAACAATATAGAGTTTTTACCAAAAATAAATAAATATATATAGATTTTTTTATTCCTTTTTTTTGTGGGGGGGGGGGGGGATTTTTCATTTTTTATTAATAAATAATATAATATAATAATAATATTAATAATAATTTATTTAATATTTTCAGTAAAAAAAAATTATTATTAATATTAATAAAAATATGAAAACTTCCCAAAAAAAAGGAATATGTTAAATTCGAAATTAAAAATAAATTTTTTAACTTTTAATGTTTTAATTTGAATTGATCTTGATCCTTATCTGATTGATGTTTTTTGAATTTCAAATTGATGACAACTTTTCTTAAACGGTTTATTAACTTCTCATAATGAATGACTTTTTACTGTATTATGATTATCCTATAAGTAAACTACCCCAGTAAGTCTTCTAAACCAACCCCACTCACTTCTTCATAAAAAAAAATACCGCAAATTAAAAATTACTATAAATTGTTGTAACTGTTCAAAAGTTTTATTATGATTTAAATATTTAATTTTTAATTTTTTAAGAAGGGCGATAGTCTTCTCATGCGTGATGATGGAAACAATTCATCAAGGAGAAATATGAATATGAGTAGGAGGTGCTAGAAAGATATGTATTTAATCACTCAAAATATGAATTTAAATGCTTTTCATGATTTTCTTAGTGCCAAGATATTAAAATGTCACTGAGTCTTTTTGGTATGTATATCAGTTACTCTCTTTAGTTCTGCATACTTCTTTTTTATTTTTTCTATGAATTGTAGTTTTTGATATATAGTTCGGTTTGTATATTTTGTTATTCATTTTTTAGATTTGCAACCGTATTCAAGATTTTGCAAGTTATATGGGATTAAGTTTTACATGTGTTACTAACTTTATTAACTATGGAAAGAAGCATCATGTAATGATGATTTATGAAGTTTTGATGATAGACACATCTTGATATACAATCTGATTTCAAAAGGAGTTCAAAAAGAAGAGTCAAAGAAGGAAAACTTTGAAGCAAGAAAGCAGAGCTAAAGAAGGTAACAAATTAAAGAGGAATTGTGTACTAACAGGATTTGTAATAAAAGGTCAAAATAAATCCTTTCCGTACACAACTTTATGTCGTTTCCTTGTACACATCGGATACCAATCTTCCAACTCTATAAAAGGATGTCAAAGGAGAGGAGACGAGACAAACAGTCTTTTGCAGAATGGAGAAATGAGAGGAAGAAAGAGTGAGAAAATACACCAAAGCCTACTATATTGAGAGTTCTTAGGAATAGAATTCAAGAAGTTCTATAGTTAGAATTTCTTGTGTGAGAAAAGTATTTTTGATTCATAGTTAGAATCATTGTCATAGATCTTTTGTACAAGAAGTGAGTTTGGCTTCTTGTAGAGTTGAGTTATTGAGAGATGTATAACAAGAGGTGGGTTTGGCCTCTTGGAGAGTAGAGTTAGTCGACTATAGTTAGTCGAGAGTTTTTTTATTATTGATTATTGAGTTGTAATCGTAACATAGTTGTTAAATAATAAAAAAAAGTTTTTTTCCTTCCTTGAGTGAGGAAGTTTTTAACAAAAAGTATTGTGTGGCTATTAAAGTGTTCTGTCATAGGCAAATATACAAGAACCTGGTTCTTGTTCTAGGGGTAAGGTTTCTTCAATTGGTATCAGAGCAGGTCTTTTTCATTAA